TCAGCTGCCGGTACCGCAGCTCCTCCAGGCGAGCCACCTGGCCAGCCCGGAAAAACACCTTGGTCTTCCCACACCGGTACTTGCTGGGATCCTGTGTGCAATGGCAGAGTCAGTCCCAGGGACTGAAACCTACCCCAGCCAGGCTCCCCGCCAAGAGCAATGCTCCTCAATACCACGGATCTTCTCCCATCCAACCTCCTTGGAGGAGGAGTTCCTGCCCATCTCCCAGCTCACCCATTTCTGTACCCCACCGGGCACACGTGCATGGGGAGAAGCATCTGCAAGGGGTACTCTGACACCACAGCTGCACCCCCACCCCAAGCAGGGCCCTTACTTGGAGCAGCCTCTCAAGGGCAAGGCTGCAGATCTGCTTCTCATCGGTGCCTGTCAGCTCCTCTCTGCTCACCAGAGCCCTGTACCTCTCTAAGAACTCCTGGTATGTCCACCTGGGGGTAACAGAGGGGGGTCAGAGGTTCTGTGGTTGGAGATGGGAGGAGCACTCAAGGTGCTTCTGAAGCAAAGATGTACCTGGAGGGGTAGCCTGAGGCACTGATCCGGATGGTCTCCAGGACTCCACAGGCTCGTAGCTGCTCCACTGCTCGCCTGGAGTCAAACCTGGGGCAAAGAGGGGCTGATCTGGAATGGGTCCCAGCCAGCTCAGCTCAATCCAAGCTATGCAGGGGCCAGGGCAAGAGGGACACAGACTGGAGGGGCAGTAGCACCCCACGGCGTCCCCAGACCCATCTCCCCTGGCCGGGCACTCACACGAAGGGCTGCTTGCCATCGTTGGGTTTGATGCAACGGATGTAGTGTGGTGTGGTGCTGCCCAGCATCTCCATCAGCCGGTTCAGGGAGGATTTGAACTGCAGGTGACAAAAAAGCAAGCAGTAATGTGCTGGAGCTTGTGGGGTTCCCCAGGCCAGGACACACATGGGTCCCATCGGGGCAAAGCCCCCCAGTGTGGGGCCAGCACCCATTCCTCCCTTCCACACACCATACCTGGCTGGAGATGGTTTTCTTGTTCTTTTGGCTGCTGGGCAGCGATCTGCGGCCAGGGCGACCAGCCATCCTGGGCCCGCTCGACCTGCGGGACTGCAGGGACACGGGGCCATCCCCTTCCTCTAGGAAGAGCTCAGCAAGCAGGGCAGACTGCACAGAGCAAAGCCGTGAGAGCCAGGCAGACCTTGCAGCAAGCATCACCCAACACCCAGAGAGCCATTGCCACCAGAAGACACAACCCTGAAAGACCATGGGCTCCACAGAAGCCAGCCCAGATGTGCTACATCCAGCTGTGCCCTGCCTACTGCTTCCCCAGTAAAAATTAAATGCAAACAACCGGCACCTTTCCCAGGTGTGCTTGAGAACCCTCCAAGATTTCCCTTAACTTCTGCCAGGGCCACACAGGGAGGAAGAGAGAAATGACAGCATTACAGACTTGGAAGCAGAGGGACCCTCCAGCTCTCTCAGCAGAACATGTTCAAGGTGTACCCCAAGATGCAGAAGCCAAGGGCAAGGAGCACTCGCATCCTGGTGCACCCTGACCACTGCCAGCTCATGTGAGGCTGTGCCAGCAGGCAGACAGGGATTTACCCTGCGTGGCTTATGCCTCCTACATCGCCAGTCCTTCCCAGCACCAGGCTCCAGGGGCCACCAGCCACCCCTGCGCAGCCCCTGCTCAGGGGGCTCTCACCTTGCTGGCTCGCAGCAGCCCCACCAGCTCCTCAGGGACAGCATCTCTGTTCTTCTCCACAAACCCATCACACTGGTATTCAACCTGGCAGGAGACAGCACAAGCATTAGCTCGTGGCTTCCCAGACCAGTTTGGTGCAGGGCTCTGCTTGTTCACAGTCCAAGGCTTTTTTTTTTTTTTTTTCTTGAAAGAAGTCCTTATAGGAGTCAGAGCTGGTGGCCACACTGCCTGGCTTCCACCCTGCTGCAAGGCTACTGATGGGAACCATCACAGCCTCAGTTTCCTTTTTTCTTTTCAGTTTGAGAGTTGCAGCCCAGCACTCAGCATCAGGAGAACCAGCAGGACCTACGTAGATGCCACAGCAACTTGGGACAGCGGGAGGCTGCAGGAGCTGCCACCACCAGCT